TAAGGGATTCAGACCACTCTACTTAGGTCAGAAGAGCAAAAATCTATTTCCAAATCTATTCATGGAAAGGTTGCCCTGCAGGGATTAGCATCACATCTAGGCAGACAGACAGATACTTAGATCCTGACTACATGCAGGATGTTTCTCTCTTCTTGGCTCTGCATACAGTAGGACAGACAGACAGATACTTAGGCCCTGACTACCTACAGGATGTTTCTCTCTTTCTCTCTCTCTTGGCTCTGTACACAATAGGAGCTTAAGGTATCCTCATTGCATAGATATTCCACCAGTGGAATAAGAGTGGAGGAAGAAACTGACTTTAAGAAGCTATACTCTTTATCTTCAGTGCTAACTATGTTATGCTGCTAGGAGAAGAGGCTGCAGTTGAGAAGGCTGCCCATCACGGCTGCTGATTGCTAGTGATCTATCACTGAACTTTCCTAAAACACAGAATCTAAAAATAATTAGCAAACTTGCATGGAGTTTCAGAGGGGAAGAGAACAAAAGACAGGCTGGCTGCCAATCAGCTGATCAGTCCCACTGGAGTGAAGACATCTCCCTGTGTCCCCTGTCTTGAGCCTTGAGCAGCTCCCTCAAGAGGTCATGTGAAAGCCCCAGGGTCCCTCCCTCAGCTTGGGGGTCCCAGTGTCTGTCTTAGCTGCCAATCTGTTTCTACTTTCTTAGGCACACTTGATCTCAGGAAGTGTTCGAACAATGAGAAGAATGGACAGGGTTAAATTCATAACAGGGTACTTATTCACACCACATTAGCCATGGGAACACTACAAGTAGGCATAAAATTTTATTCCTGTGATAATATACTTCAAGCTCTAAAAAGATCCTGTAAAGAAAAGAATTCCCTTTAAGAGAAAGAAAAAAAAAAAAAACAGCCAAAACAAAACCAGTTACTATTGAGGTTAACAGTGCTGCACCATAGAGATTAGAAGAGCTGCCACTGCTGATGGCAGCCTACGGGAAATGTGGCCAAAAGAGATGTCCATCCAGAAAGCGCAAACAATTATGACTTTTCCTATTGACTGCCGGAAAGCCAGAAGCCCAGAATTCCTCAGTGTAATACACAGAGCTGCCCGGTGTTCCCAGGTATCTGCAAAGCACACGTGACCTGGGTCATGGAGGAAGCCGGCAAGTCTGCTGCAGGAAAGCTTAGCACAGAGGAAGCCACAACCAACTGCCTTCAGCACACAGCGCAGGGTTGCCCCGTTCTTACCACCCCTCTGCCCTGTAACAATTCCGATTCTCCCTTTCTTGAAATGGGTAATGAGCAACGCCTTCCACCATCCCATCAACAAACAGCTGGATTAATGCCAAAGGACCATACACCCTGGTCTGCCATGCCCTTTTTAATCAACTTCCTAATTAAAAAATGCCATGCTGGCATGAGGTATGAAGGGAGTAGGCTTAGAATATTTCACAAAATAGCATCCTCTCATCCTGGAGTCGCTGAGGATCTGTATCCTTACAGATGTTTATGAGTGTTCCTGCTGCAGAGATAGAATCAATTTGCTTGCGCCTGGCCCTCAAGACGTATTAAATTTATCCTGAAGGAAGCTGGCTTCTGAAAGCTCTTGCCCAGATGCATTAGGCAGGTGGGGGTTTCAGGGAACCGGAGGGTCCACCAGCAGATGCAGCATTGATTTCTGAATGTTCACACTCTCATAGACAGCTCCAGAGCAGACTCGGTTTGATGGCTCTCTATGGGGTGCCCTGCAGACTGGATTATTTCCACCACCAGTCTGGCTAGCATTGTTTCATGGCGACAGTGCCCTGTGCGTTCAGCTTCTGCTCAGATGGCACAGGCTAGGGGAATGTGTGGACCAGGGAGAGGATACAGCACCAAATTTAAAGTCAGCCTCCGAGAATTGTCCCCTGCCTACAGGATTCAGGGATGTAGGAGCCCCCCAGAACTGAGGAGTGGTGCTGACTTTTGTCAAGACACTCTGTGTGAGTGCAGCTTAGAACACACTACGGTTCAGTTTAGACAATGGCTGAGGTGCTACTCAAGGCCATGTTGGAGGTGGAAATCCTACAATGAAAATCCTTGCCGATGTACTAAAAGAAGCACCCCCCTCCCCAATAAATTATTCATCCCTGAGTTGTTTGATTTAGAGTTCCAGGCTTGACACTGCACCTGAAAACATCTGAAGCAAATGCTCAATTGGGGTGATTTTCTCAAGGCAATTTGAGGGAGTGTGCCGCCTAAACCGTTGGACTTCATTTAAGTAGCAGACAGCATACCGTATAGAGTCACAAAGTTCTCACAACTATATTAATGAGTACACACATACATCTAAGACAGGTTTACATGATGCACGTATTAACCCAACGACTCAAATATTATAGCCTACACACAACACTTTTACCCCAGCAACCTTAAAAATATACATGTTTTACACTTTAAAAAACCATGGGAGGGTTCAGCACATTCTCTTTACTGTGTTAAAACACATCACAAGCACAGAATTTTAAAGGAAATAAGGTCAAGTGACATTTTGGAAGAAAACTGTTGACATTTTTTTTCCTGTTCATAAGCAGTGGGAGCCCTATGGGCAGCACATGTGGCACTGAGGTGCAGATCCCCCCCAGTGAGACCACTGCCCACAGAGCGGCAAAGGTAGCCACCTGACATTTGGAATCTCATGGATGAATTACATGATTTAGCTATGGAAGGTCATAATCTCTCCCAAAGTTGATTTGCAACCTCAGAGAAAAAGTTGAAAACAAATATAAAAATAAAAAGTCTCCTTTAAAGATCACATTTTCAGGCTGGCTCACATGGACACATTTACAGCTCTCGGGGACATTTCATTGTCTTTAGATCAAGCCCTGATCAACTGCAAGGGGCCTTGAGAACTGACAGGACTGTAAGTGGCAAAAGTAACTCCCTCCAGTGGAAACTCCTGTGACATAATTGTTGCCCTTAAAAAAAAAATGGACCTCACCTGTGAGAGGCAACCAGGCACAAAGGAAGCCTCGTGGGTAAGTGACATTCAAGGGCTTCCCTGCTTCTAAACGGCCAAGCAGAGGTTAAAAAAGAAAGGCTGATGTCTGCTCCAAGAAAGTTATAACCAGAAAACAAAAGAGTTATTTTACGCACAGAGATGGCCTCAACTCCGAAAGGAGACAGGCATGGGAGAAGGGAGCACAGTGCAGCCTCCCTCTAGATAGGAGTTCATGAAAACGAGAACTCTTGGGTATTCATTACTTTGGGCTAGACATTTAAAACATGAGTTTATTTTTTCCCTCATTCTAGCTTACTAGCTAATTTTAAAAATGCAATAGGAAAAAAAACATTTGTATGTACATATACATTGGGAGAAAAATTGAGAATTTTCCTATTATGCCAAAAAATACATCTTAATGTGAATATTCAGAAACTTGCAATTTGACCAGGAAAATGATCAGAGACAAGTTCTACCTACCAGGGACAAACAAGCCTGCTCCCACTTTGTCACACCTGAGGCTTGGACTCACTGAAGGTATTTGTGGCTTTCATTTTTACAAAGGCATACTTTTTGAAGCAGAACAAATGATACCCACCCACCTCCCCCAAAAGTTGTATTTTCTGTCACACATTCGCTGTCATTTCTAAAGTATAGCAACACTTGGGGAGAGCTTTTTAAAAAAAAAAAATCAAAATGAAAGCATGCCATGCTCCAAAATATCCATGAAACTACAGAAATACAGCTAAAAGATCATGGTCTGAAGTTTGACTTTAAAAACAAACTAAATAATTAGGTCAGTTAAAATGCAAACCTTTCCCTCTAAGGAGGCTAGGAATCCTTAAGACAGGAAAGGACTCCTCATCAGTGACTTCCCCCAGAAGCATCTTGAACTGAATTTTGAAACACCCATGCTCCAGCGTGGTAGTCCCAGAATTATATAAGAAATCTGTGCCACTGTTGACAATAGACACTCAGGGCTCCAGGAAGCTTCATTATTACTTATGAACTCAGAAAACTGATTTGGAAAAAAAAATCTCCTTTTTTTTTCTGAAAAGAACTCAGTATCAAAGGTTGTACTCATTTAAAATTTCCCCCTCTGTGCATCCTACAGACCTACAAAAACATCAGTTCAGTTTCCACTGTCCCCAATAAGTAACTGGTTAAATGAGCTAAAAATCTCCTTCCAGCTAGGAAAAATATATACTAGTCAAAACTAATTACATCTGGGCTTTCATCAGAACAACATTTGCTAATTCTGCTGGTCTCCATACACTGTCCCAGAAAATATTAATTAAACACGTTGAATAATGGCTGCTGTAAATTTCTGAAAACACTAATCTCTAAACAGTTAATTTCCACTTCACACTTCTGCACGGAAGATGGATGAAGAGGCCACCCCACGCACCAGCCAAAGACTATTCTATTGTTACTGCCCTTAAGAGTTGAACTTTGCTCCACTTTGGGAAGCGCAGCCACGGCTGCAGAAACAACAGGACGCATTTACCTGGAGGGGATTTCAAAGAGAAACCTGAAGAATGGATTCTCTGCGCCTGCAGTCCCTCTCCGCACCTTCCGCTAAGCCAGCCTCTGACAGGCAGTCGTTCCCACGGCAGCCACCCCTGCCTTCCATCTTAGGGACTCACCCAGAAAATTCTCCAGCCTGCTCCGCGACTACAAAACTCTTGTTTGAACGCCCACCATTTGTTCTCCATTCATCCAATCAACTTCGAACCGCACATCTTCTCTCTATCGGCGCGCAGACACGGGGCCACTTCTCATCTGTATGCTAATTATTTTGCCACATGGACAAAAGTAATAATGCTTTCAGACAGGAAACTAACAGGCCTGAAGTCGAAGATGGAAATTAATAAGTTGACACCACTAAACGCCGGGGAAGACGGGCATGCGTGCAGAGCCCTGCCTGGTGGATGCGGCGCAGCCTCCATCAGCAGGCAGCAGACAGACGGCCCTGGGCCGCCAGCACTGCCCAGGCTGCGAGCATCAGGCACAGGTTTCCTTAGAGACCACATCGCTGCCGCAGAGGCACACCGGGAGCATCCTGCTGACTTACCCTGCTCGGGGCTGCTGTCCTTTAAGCAATACAAAACGCAGCAGCCATTTCCTCAAATCCTAACTTCATCGCTGATCTAGATGTTTCTCAACCTGACAGCTGTGAGTTAAAACCAGTAATTTCTAACCTTCCTGTTTACTAGGCTTTCGGCAGTGAGGCAGGATTGGGATGTGTGCTGTGTGCTTCCTACACTGTACCCACAGGCCTCTAAATCTCTAGAGCGGAGTGTATGATGTGCAGTGCTGTATTTAATGTAATAGATGAGAACTGTAAATACGCAGGCTGGCTGTTGGCTGCTACCCGCTAGGTGATGTGTCTCAGAAAATCTCCCCTATCGCTGACGTTATGGTAAATGCATATTGTGGTCCAAGAAACCTCACCAAAGTCAGCAGAACCTTGGTGTTTTCACTAAAACTACGGCTACACATCAAAACAAAAACAAACAAACAAACAAAAGCGCCCAGGCCTCCCTGACACTTCTCAAGGCTGGAGAACGGGCACCAGAGAGTTAACGAAGGGGGTCCTACAGTGTCCCTGGCTTGCCAGCCACATTACATTATCCCATCCTGGCAGAGGCTCCTTTGATCCTTTTTCCTTAAAACAAGAGGAAGAACTATTCTCTGAGTAACTTTGAGCACTGACAGCCCATGATACCAGCATTAGTATCATTCGAAGAAAAGATAACAGAAAAAGTTTATTCTAAAAAAGAGCAGACCCAGTAGGATGCCAAAAACACAAAAGAGAACACAGCTATATGACTCTCCATAGCATTTGTCCTTTTTTTATGCTTTTACTTTTCTAAGTGCTGATTTTATAAATGGCTACTGAGGCAAGCAACACATGCCTTTCTGTGGCAGTAGCTGCCCCCTTCCCTCACCAGCCTCTCAGCACACCGTAAAGGCACACTAAATCATAAAGGCTGCTTAGTACCTCCCCTCTGCTGGAAGCTAGCTTGGATATCCAGACTCCTAGTCAGAACAACTCTGGGAAGATTTCAGACCAGCAGCCCACAGGCATGTTTACCTGAGAGGCAGCTGTGGCCAAGAGAACTCATTGTTGGCCCTTTGTAACCCAAACCATGCCATTCTGTCATAGTGTGCAACCAAACAAGAGTGGAAGGTGTCCAGGCAGGTGGAGAACTGGCTGTGGGAAGTACTTAAGAGACTATCAGAAATTACTCAGAGGAGTTGGAAGCTTCAACAGCCAGGCAAATAAGCAACCACATGTCACCTTTAAATGAAAGGGAAGAGGTACCTCTCTGCAGAAGAGTTGGTGGCCATCAGCAAGTCCTCCTCAGCAGTCTGTCTCACTCATGCAGCTCCTCAGCTGCCATGGAGAGCCCCAGGCACGTGTGGTCACAGATCCCTCTGTGTTTGCATCCCCTCCACCCCTCCCATCAGGACCGACCGGCGCTGTCAGCCCTGTGCACAGAAGTGCAGGGCAGAGCCCACAGATCAGCCACTGGGGGCCTCCATAGGCACAGTGCAGACTGGTTTCCGAGGGAGACTGACAGCAGCCCCAAGGTCCCAGGAACACCCTCTTCCTGCTCTCAGAGGTAATTCCTCTGAAGAGCATCTGCCTGGCGCGAGGTTACTACACAGGGTACTGCTTGCTCCCTTTCCAGTGCCCTGACGGAAACCTCCACAGCTCTCCACAAGGAGGCTTGCTGGGGACACCCAGTGCCCCTCCATCTTCTCACAGACAATGCACTGTCCACTGCCATCAGAACACCTCCCTCCCCTTCCCTGCTCCCCCAACAATCCCCACATGGGCCTTTTTCTTTCATAGAGAGCTATAGCATTTGCAATGTTTCCTTCCTACCCAGCAGCCTGAGGCAGCAGGGTTGGTCAGTGTCTTTTTCATACAATAAATAAGCACTGATGCATTCTCTCTAGTTTTCTAACACCTGGATTACATTTTCTCTGCCATCTCTGATTACTTCTGCAGATACCCTGAGGGCTCATTAGAATGCCAACGATAAAATAAAAAAAAAACCACTTTCATTGTGAAAACATTCACAGAAAAGTCATTGTGTATGCTGGAACAATGCAGGTGTGGAGGAGAGGGAGACAGAAGAGAGAGGCTGAGAGATAATCAGGGACAGAGTTAAAGAGAGGCCAGGAGACCAAAAGAGAGACGGGGAGAGGAAAGGAGGAAGGGAGAGAACACAAAAGATATTCCAAACTGAGTCACATTGAAACATAACCCACTGATGGGAAAATGTATAGATGTTTCCCTAAAATCATCTGATGTCAGAAAAAAAAAACACACAATAAATGACAAGAAGTAGAATCCTTAATATTACTCCCAGTGCCAATTATGACCATTTTAGGCAGTATATTAATATATGGGATATGCCAACTTAAAATGTTTGTTAAAAATACTAGCCATATATGATATTTAGACATCACTGCACCCCCCACACACCAAAACAAAACACACATACACTACTTTATTATTTAAGTTTGTGATAGCAGCTGTCTTTGGTTTGGATACATATAGATGGGTGTCAGTTGGGGCACTGTATTATGCAGTGGGATGAAACTTAGCTTTGTGAGACACATGTTAATGTTTTGTGAGTTTTTGCTCAAGTTTACCTCCTATTGCTCTTGTCAAGGAATGCTACCCAATTTTAAAGGAAAAGAGAGAGAGATTCTTAAAAACTTGAAAGCACACTGCAGTGAGCTCAGCTATGGAGTGATCTGCTGGAGAGCAGAGCAGCCTGGAGCTCTTTCGCCTGCCACTCATTTGCTTCCTGTTCAGGGTTCTGGGGGATTCTGCAGACTTTCTGGCCAAATATTAGATGCATTTGAAAAACTAGTTATTGATTAGAAAACATGGCCCTTGAGGAAAGTGGTCAGCCAGTTGAGTTCAAGTTCAGGGCAGATTGGTTCCTACCCAAGTAACCTTATTATTTTCTCTTGTTCCATAAGTGATTTTTTTTTAACACAAGAGTACTAAAACTTTAAGTTCTTTGGAGATTAAAGTGTAGCCACTAAAATGCATATAGTAAGTGAGCAGTGTCTTAGAAGGGATGATATGTATTTTGAAAACAACAGGTCTCCATGAAAGTGGATTGGCTTGCAGGTAGACATGGGGTGTCTGGTTTAGACAGGTGACATTAAAAATATTATTTTGTCATCAAAATTTCCCTCAGATGTAATCATCTTTTCAAAGTTGTACATGTGGTGTGTTTCTAAAGAGAGCTAACAAAGCAAATGAATACTTAGATTACAATTCATTATTTGATAATTCTATGTAGAATAGTAACAAATAGAAAAAAACTTTAAAAAATTTTAACATTGCAAAATATCTTTTATTTGCATTTATTTTTTTTAATTTGGTAAAGGAAATGAACAGGTATCATCAGAGGATGCAATAGTTTGTAACAATGAATAGAAGTCAAAATTTTTAAAAGAGTAAAAATTAAATTAAATCGGGTAAAAAAAAATGGCAGAAATAATAAAGATGCCATATCAATGAGCATTGACCCCCTCCCTCACCACCCTAACTACATTCTTTTAACCTGAGCTCATACAGCTATCTATTCCCAAGCAAACTGTAGGCTCATGTTCCTTTAAGAATTTTTGTGTATCAGTCATAAGTATTCTCAAGTTATTGGGCCTCAGCCCTGGCCTCAGCTTCAAACACAGATCCATGAAGCTGGCATTGGTTGTGGTTCTGGGTGCAAGTTTAACTCCGTAGAAATGTTCCTGTTAGGTGTACTTCCTGCCCTAGTGAACCAGGTAACCCTGGTTCATCTTTTCAAAATAAATAAATAAATAAATAAAAGATTAAATTGTATTAATAACTGGATGCATTTAGGTAAAGAGCATCCACTTCCAAAGTAGTAATGTTTGTAATCTACAATAGTTTTAGAGCCCCAAATCACATGAGTTATTTTGGCAGATTCATGTGTCCGATATTTACAAACATGTGCGTGCAATAACAGCAGCAATGTCCTTACAAAATAAAAACCATCGGCTACAGATCTGGGCTGCCACCATCTTCAAAACATCCAATTGTGACTGTAAACACCACTCGACTTCTACCTCGGTGGGCACCGTCATTAAGTGATGAAAGTGAGCCATTTTCACATGGGCAGTGAACCTGTAGGAAGCCTCCGACGAATGCAATTGCTATCTGCCACGGACAGCTCCCGGTGCTGAAAGGAGGCCAGGAAACCCTATCACAATGGCTCCCTCCACCAGCCTTTGAAAAAACCACAGCAAACTGAATGGTGTGGAAAGTGCTCAGCCTGAATAGGACTGTCTACAGAACAATGGCGGCCAGCTCCAAATCCTGCTATAATCACATTAATGAGATTAATCAGTGAATTAGCAGCAGTCAAATGTCAGGGAGGCAAGGAGGAAGCCAACCAAGATGGTGATTAACTTTGGGAGGGGGGGAGGGGGAGAAATCAACTGTGCTCTGTCCGAGGATTTGCAGAACTTGACAGATCTGATTCACAAATCTGAAGGCTGAAAGTAGAAATCAAAAGGCGGTCACACAGCCCTTCAGAGCACATCGTGGATTCAGCCACCACCCTGCTGCTAGTCCGCTGAAGAAAACATGATTGCAGGAATCTTCACAAACTGCCCAAATTCTGCAGTTGGAGGCTTTCAACTGTGTAGCTGACATTTAATATTAATTTATTTTCCCCAGATTCAGACTAAAATAATATATATTAAATGGCTGCTTAGGAGAAGGAGGGGTCATGGCAAGAGTTTTAAAAAGTGTACCAAGTTACTGCTCCATCATACAAACACCCCCTCAGTGTCTATCCTAAACAAATATTACAATAAATAAAATTTAATATTGAAGCACAACTTTAAGGAGAGTTTTAACCAATTGACTTCTGCTCTGAGGCAATTTATTCATTTATGTTCCTTTAGGTTAATTGTGGAAGGAAAAACAAAGTTTTTTGGGGGGGATAGATGCTGCATAGTTGTATTTAAAACGTATTTGTATCATCAATACTTTGGGCTCAGAGTTTGGGGGATGTTAAAACTTACAGGAATCCTATGAAGCTGTTTTCAGAGAGGAATTCTGAATAAAACATTTGCATTTTTAAAGTAATTGTGTATCTATCTATATGTAAAACATACCTTACTTTTTCATTTCACAAGCTACATTACTTTTATGAACTTGAACAATTAGGAAGACTCTTTTATGCTTATGAGGATGTTGTGGGTACTTTTGTCTGTGATGTTAGTATAAACATTTGAACAAAAGAGTTGTTATACAAACTACTTTTTCCTAGTTAAGTAAACAACATAATGATCTACAATATATATAGTTTCAATGGTATAAGAAATGTGTCATGACTAAATTAATGTTAAATTCAAACTCTACTGTATATTTTGTATCTTTCACACTCATGTGACCATTTATATTATTTACTGTTTATTCAGATCTATCTGGAAGCAAGAGTGTGAAGACTCAACTTTTTGTTTATGAAGTGATTTTTAAAAAACATATTTCTGTTATAAATTAAGTGCTGTTTTGTTATTATGAACTTCAAACATTGAGGTTATTGTTAAAAATCTTTATTTGATTTTACCAGTTTGATGAACATCAATCAACTTTCTTTTTATAATTAGACAAATACAACAGTGCCTCAGGAGCAGCTAATGTTCTCGTAGCCCTTGCTTATAACCTTCCCTTGTTTGTAAAGTGAAGTTACCCACTCTCAGGAAGTTACTTCAGCTCAAATCACCGACCTCCACACATGCAGCAAGTTTTTCGTTTTTCTCATTTTTATTTCTTTTTATAAACAAAATTATTGTTCAGGCATGCAATCTATTACCCATTTTTTTTTCGTGCTCTAAAGACAGGCTTCTGAGGATGGAAGACCTCAGGAACCTTCCAGCTACCAGCCATGCTATAAAAATAACTTTAAAAAGGAGCAAACAATAGGACTGCAGCAGAAGCCTTGAGCTACGGCAAAACAGATCCTGACCCCTGAGTCCAAAGTATCAACCTAATGAGCATCACGTACCTCACACCATGACCACACCGCTCACAAGTGACGGCTCAAAACACACAGAAAGAGAAAACCCTTTCCCCCACAAGTGGGAGGCCGAGGAGGAGGAGGACGCATAGCACCAAGAGGCAGGGAAGGCTGCTTTTGTCTTCGGCGAGCATTGATTTCATAACCCACAGTCCAGGGATTCAAAAAATTGAAATACACCCACCAACAATGGGTGAGAAACCAGGGGGCCTCCAAGAAGACTGCAGGGAAAAAGCTTTCTCGCTCTGTTTTGTGTGCAGTAGCAGTAGCTTAGGGGAAAAAAAAATGTCGTCCGGGCAGGAATGACACATGCAGAAGGAGAGGCTAGCGGGCCTGAGAGATCTGCTTTACCTCCACATCCAGCCCCTAATGCACGCAGCCCCACTCATCCTCTCCCAGGCTCTTTTTTTTTTTTTTTCCACTTTTTTTTTTCACGAGCTCCAAATCCCCGGCATATGACCTTCTGTTAAATAGATAAAAAAAAAAATTGCTTATCAGTCATGCAAATGAGGCTGAATTCATTTTCCACAACAGATGGCCTCATAGATAATGATGATGGAAGAGAGAAAATTGAATGTCTCTCACAAGGTGGCCATGGCAACCGAGAGCAGAATAATATCAATAATAAGCTCACTGCATAATAAGGTTGTCAGTCCTACAAATCAAAGTCTGCAGCTAAATCAGGTATACCACCCCAGCTAGTTACCAGGTAAATAATGTTTGTGTGTGTGTGTGTGTGTGTGTGTGTGTGTGTGTGTGTGTGTGTGTGTGTGTGTATGCGTGTATGTATATGCTGACCATGAGGAGAGCCAGCATTCCAAGCCATTCAGTGTCGGGGTGGGGGGTGGAGGGGGTGGTTGCTGGATAATGAAATGACGATCCCACGATCTGACTTTTTTTTTTCTTTTCTCTTTCTTTCATTATATTTTCTGCAGTATCCTGGGTTTCACGAAGCACGGGCTAACTAGCCATATTGAACTGTGGAGTGAGCCTGTGGATGAGCTCCCCTCCCGCTAGCCTCCTCCTCACTCTCCCCTCTGTGTGCCCTGCTGCATCCTGCCTAGATGCAAGAGCAGCTCGCCGGAGGCTTCCACCTTGGCTCCCAGGGGGACATCCTGCAAAATGAATCAGCAGCCATCCTGAGCAGGCTGATTAAAATGAAAATGGCAAGGCACATGTCTGGGCGGAACTGGAGCTCAGCTTTGTTGCCTGTCTGACAAGCAAGCTCAATATAGCTCTTGCTAATAATGGCTTACTGCCTTTCGGTTTTTAAAAAGGTATCACCCTTCCCCTTAACCGACTGCTACGTGTGTGTGCGCGCGCATGCCTGTGCGTGTTCGTGTGCGTGTGCGTGCCTGCATGTGTGTGTGTGTGTGTGTGTGTGTGTGTGTGTGTGTGTGTGTGTGTGCGTGCGCGCTTGCTCGTGCTCACATGTGTGTGCCACGGGGGTGGTGGGGGGACGGACTGCTCGATTCTAATTTTCCGCTGCTCACATGCAGACAGCCTGCCTGACAACGCTGTTATTTTAAAACTGAACTTAGTTGTCTTTCTTCTGAGGAGAATGATGGTTAAGTTTCAATGTGGTGGTTGCCTGAAAACCCAGACCAGAAACGAATTTCTAGCCCAAGCCTTAGCCGCCGAACTTGGGGGAGGGGGTCACTTAGTGATGTTCTTCTCTGGCTCAAAGCCCAGTGAGCCAAGCAGCCAGGTGGGAGCCTGCTCCTGCTTGAAGATTTTCTACCAGACTGTCTCTGTCCCCTAGATCTCATGCAAGGTACAGGCTGAAAGTTGGAGATGGAAGCCACCTAATGATGCAATTATTGGACAAAATTTATTAAAACTAAATCTCATTGCTTTTCAAAATTCTCAGGTATAGCTTAAAGGTTCCTTTTAATAAGCCATATTTTTTAAATATCCTTATCAGAATTTTCAGCTTTTTTTCCCCTAAGGCATCATTACATCCTCTCGAAAGAAAGAAAGAAAGAAAGAAAGAAAGAAAGAAAGAAAGAAAGAAAGAAAGAAAGAAAGAAAGAAAAAGAGGAGAAAAGAAAAAGAAAAAAAGACCACACACACACACACAAAACAGAAACAGCTTGAAAAGTAGAACCAGGAATTTTTCAGAACTCATTTATACTGTACATTTCCTATCCATTCTGATCCAAGTTAAGTTAAGGGACTATTCAATGTCCTTCTCTCAACTGCTCTCTTGCTAACAAATAGAAGATTCTGGGGGTGGGAGGGGGGCTACCAGCACCATTCTTTCATTTGTTTTCTTTTGTAATCCCTGCTTCTGAGATGTGGTTTTTCCTCCTGCTTGGTAGTCCTGTTGCTACAGTGTGAGTCAGAAATCGATAGAGCTGCCCTGGTGGGGACTCCACTCCACAAGGGGCAAGCTGCTGCAGCCTTCTCCTTTCTCTCCCCCTACTCCTTCCATCTCCCCACCCCACTCCCAGAACTAATGACGTCTGTGCAGCTTTTTCAGCTGATTGGGCACCATATCGGATGTTCCGTGAAGCAAAGAATGGGAATCATTTACAGTCAGTAGAAAAAAATGGGAGCACACATTCTCCTCTGGCCCCCACACTGGTCCCAAGCTTCCCACACAGGCATTCATACTTCGTACGGGGGATAGACTACCCACAGGTTGTGCAGTCACTACAGAGTAGTATTAGAACTGAAATCTGAGTAGCTCGAGAGTTTCTTTTCCTTTCTATGAAAGACAAAGCACCTCTCAACAAAATAGAAGTATGAAAGTCTCAGGAAGCTTTACACAGCCAGGTGGTATGGGAGACACTACCTCAGGGTTCAAATGAGTACTATCTTAGATGGAGAAAGAAATCCCAAAATAATACTGAGTTTTCATTATTTTAAATCACAGGTTTATCTGGGTATGTTTTCTCATACATATGTACATGTCTGTACAGATACAAGTATGTGAGAGGGCAGGTACTGCTTGTGAATACCTATGTGTCTATGTGCATGCAAGTGTGTGTGTGTGTGTGTGTGTGTGAGAGAGAGAGAGAGAGAGAGAGAGAGAGAGAGAGAGAGAGAGAGAGAGAGAGAGAGAATGAATGAGCAAGCACGTGTTGATTATAATGTTGCCTCAATAGGTCTGGTCACCAGGTGCTCTGGGTGTCTCTCTCTGATATGACAGGCTGAAGGACTGATATTTTGTCCCTGGAGTCCACTGCACCTCTTCACTCAACACCCCGCTACTGTGTGGCCTTCAACCTCATCTGATCAGCAATAACTGCCCTGTCTCTAGTCAGGTTCGAGGCACCAGGATCCTTCCCACCCACCCCTGCCTATCATCAGAGCTGGAGAGGCCAGCATACACATGACTTAGAGGAAAGAAAGAAAAGATGAAGGAAGCATGATGCCGTGGAGCAAGAGTACAGAGCCACTCCAGCCTGTGTTCAGCAACCGCTTGATAAGTTATGGTATCTTAAAAGGGCAAAATCAAGTATTTTGCAGTAAGGCACAGTTAAACCTTTCAGGGAACATGAAGACTGGGGGACACACGAAAGACCACTTATATTAAAACCTACCCATTGTTTACAGTTAAACTACACAATAAAACTATTCGCATCCAAATATCAAATTGTTCTTAAGTTACTTAGAATATATTGTGTATTGTTCTTAGGAACCCATTTCAAAAATTAAAACCTGTCTCCATTAGGAAGTAAAAAGCTAACCTTTTACCTGTTCTTATTTATTTGTAAGAGAAAATACATTTAAATATACAGTCCCTTCTAATAAGTATGCCCTCCAAATAATAAGTCATAGATACTGCTTAAATTTTAAAATGAGATACATACATGTAAACTATAGGTTATATTTCTAATGGTTAGGTAAGTGTTCTTATTGCAATTAACAATAAAGTGTGTCTCCTGGTGGGTAGAAAGGACAGCCTCTCTGCTCTCTAGACTTCGGAACAGTCTCTACATGTGCACAGACAGGCCACTTCATGTCACCTCAGATGTAATTTGCCCAAAGATGAGAACATGGGAAGTGGACAAGCTTCCATGTTAATCTGAGTTTTGCAGATCCAGTGGCTGGTTAATCTGAGTTTTGCAACAGGAAGTTCACGACTCATTTATGTTTGGCCATGATTGTATAGGTTATATGATGGTTAATGATAGTCAACTTGACAGGGTCTATAATCACCTAGGAGACAGACCTCTGGGCCTGTCTGCCAGGGGGTTTATGCAATGGACAATAGTGAAGGTGATGTGCGGGTAACATCTCACTAGGGGACAGCCCCAAGCTGTGAACAAACACATTCATTTGGAAGGAGAGACAGAAGTGGGAATGCTGCTGAAGGGGTTCCTTGATCAAAAATAAATACCTAGGTTATTACTGCTATATATACATGAATTTGAAAGGGAGTAAGGGGGGCATGGGGAGGGTTGGAGCCAGGAAATGGAAGGGAAGAAATTACATAATTATATTTTAATTAAAATTTTAAAAAATATTATTAATAAAACCTTGGGAAATGTTTCCCCAGGGTCAACACACAGCAGCTACTACAACTGCTGTTCAAGGGCATCCAGGCTGCACCATGAGCTACTGGCAGAATTTGGCATGGAAGATGCAAGAGTGAGTATTATGGAAACTTTCATAGTTCTAGAGAGACACTAAGGCCAGAAGATTTGTGAACAAGCCAGAATCTACACAAAAGGCAGTAAAAATCCTTTGCACAGGGCTGGAGAGATGGCTCAATGGTTAAGAGCATTGGCTGCTTTTCCAGAAGTCCAGAGTTCAATTCCCAGCACCCACATACCATCTACATGGTGGCTCACAACCATCTGTAATAGGCTCTTATGCCCTCTTCTGGCATGAAGGTATACCTGCAGAACATACATACATGCAATATAAATAAATAAAATCCTTTGTATAAATAGGTGAATGGGAAACCTAAGTTGTCATGGCCCCCAGGATCTTGGAGACACCAGGACCATAGCACATTCACAAAAAAAAAAAAAAAAAAAAAAAAAAAAAAAAGCTGCAGGCGCAGAGTAGATCTCGCTCAAGTGAGAGGTTGCATGTGAGAAAGCTGGAAAGGTGGAGCTATCCAATGCTGTTGGAAGTCTGAAGATTCCTTTATAAGCTCCAAATGCTGAGAGTGGAGCTCTAGGATCTAGTACTTATTCTGTTGGGTTTCTGTCACGCTTCTCTGTGATCTTCCTCTGTGATGTAACCATTCTCCTTTTTTGGAATGGGGATGTTTATTGTGTACTACTGTGTGTTGGGAGTATGTGACTCATTTTTAGATAATACAGGGCTCACAGTAGAGGGACTGCCTGAGTCTCAGAAGAGACTATGCATTCTACTTTTGTTGGAAACTACTAAAGTCCATGGAGAATACTGAAAAAAGAATGAATGTATTTTTCATTGTGAGATGGCCACGAACTCTTGGGGGCAAAGAGTGGAAGGTCATGACTTAAAAGTTATATGTCTGGGTGTTAAGTTGACAAGGGTTGAACTTGTGATGATTAGAATGGATTGTCACTTCGACAGAATCTAAAATCACTTAGGAGACAAACCTCTGAGCATGACTTTAGTAGAATTTCTAGGTTGGGTTAACGGAGGTTGGAAGACCCACACTAAATATGAGGGGCATGGCTTCACAGGCTGGAGTCTTGGGCTAAATAAGATGGAAAAAGGAAAAACAGGAAGAGCCCTAGCATTCATTTTTCTAAGTTTCTCAGCTATGAGCACAGTGGGACCAGCTACCACACACTGGTGGCACCATGCCTTCTTCGTCACAATGAGCTTTAAGTGTGGGCCTAAATGAATAGTTCCCTACATTTCCTTTGTCAAATATTCTGTCATAGCAAGAAAAAAAAAATAATGCAGTTGACACCGGTGATCAGGGACTGTGACATCTAAAGGGAACACAAATTTGCAGAGAGCCTTACTATAGCCAGGGAAATAAATGGTTAAAATCTGGACTCCAGATGCAACCACATCAGATGTGCACTGTGCACAAACAGGCCTCTGCCGTGGGACCCCCAAAGGAAATAACTTCCCAGGTTAGGAACATATGAGATAAGCACTATTTTATTAATATAGGGCAAATGATAGAGATGGAAGCCCCATTTTCATCACAAGGAATTAATCCCAACTGGAACACTTTCAGAGTATGTCAGCAGCAAAGCAAAAAGAATAAGGTAAAAAGGACTAACTTGCAAAATCAGTGAAGGCCAACTTCAGGGACATAGGGTTTTTATTTTATTTTAGCTCACAGTTCCAGGTGACAATCCACCATGGTGGGGAAGTTGGGGGGAGCAGAACTTGAAACAATGGTCACATGACATCTACAGTCAGAAGCAGAGAGCAGTGCATGTGTGCTTCTAGTGCTCATGCTCTCCACTCATACAGTTCAGGATCTTCTGCCTAGGGAATGGTAGCACCCACAGTGGATGGTCTTCCCACCTCTACTAACATAATCAAGGTAATGCCCCATGTGCATTCTTAGAGGTCCATATTACATGAAGTTGGCTTTTATTTTCCAGCTCCCAAACAAATACACAGAGACTTATTCTTATTTATAAATGCCCAGCCTTAGCTTGGCTAGTCTCCAGGCAGCTTTTCTAACTTAAATTATCCCATTTCCCTTTAACTATGCTTTGCCTCTGGGCTTTTAACCTTTCTTATTCTATATATCTTTCTTTCCTTCTTACTCCATAGCTGGCTGCATGGCTATGTGGCTGCAGGGCTGGGTGGCTGGCCCCTGGTGTCCTCCTCTCCTTCTCCTTTTCTTGCTCCTTCTTCTTCCTTCTTCTCTAGAGCCTAAATTTCTCCTCCTATATATTCTCTCTGTCTGGCAGCCCTGCCTATCCCTCTCTCCTACCTAACAATTGGCCATTCAGTTCTTTATTAGACCAAACAGGTGTTTTAGACAGGCAAAATAACACAGCTTTGCAGGATTAAACAAATGCAACATAAGAATTCAACAATCTTTGTATCATTAAACAAATATTCTATAATATAAACAAATGTAACACATCTTAAACTAATATTCCATAACAGTTCCATGTGATTTTAGATTTTGTCAAGTTGACAATTAATACTAACCATCAAAATGTCAACCCTCATCAAATTGACCACAAACATATTACATTTAAGCCATCACCTCAAGGTCTTGTGCCCGGAGGCTCAAGACCATGTTATACTATAAAATGCATTTAGTTCAGCTTGAAGAGTCCCCATAGTCATCAACAGTTCCAGTAGTTAGCCCAAAGTCTCTAAACTGAGTGTTCCCATAAAATAAAAAGCAAGTTATGTATTTCTAACAGATATTGGCACAGAGTAAACCAAATGGGAAGAACCAGGCCATAGGAAGGGACAATACAGAGAAAAACCATAACCCAGCAGGGCAAACACCAAATCCTGCACCTCTATGAGCATCACTTGGGGCTTCTGAAGGAATCACCTTGCCTTTCCAGCTTCAAGACCTGCAGCATACCCAGATTTTGGGCTGATTTCACTCCATGCTGGTGATCGTCTCACAGTCTTGGCATCTCCAATATCCTGGGGTTTCCATCACAACCAAAGCTTCAGTTACATAGCTTCTCACCATAGCTTCTGGGGGTTGGGGGGGGCTTCTTTCAGGGACTCCAACACTGCCACGCATTGCTTGGCCTCAGCTGCTCTCCATGGAAGGTGTTCAACCTTGAGCCCACCCTCCCTGGCTTCAAAATCAGTATTATGATGGCATTGCCAGGTTTACCTGCCAGCTCAAGAGGTGGCCTACTCACCTTGGACCACAGCTATATCTGCAAACACTCCCCTAGGCAGTTGCTTCTGGGGAGCAGGGAGATCTTTTACTTAAGGTTTCTTCCTTTAAATGTATCTGAACCTTGAGAAGACAGAGCTTACAGGGGGCTTCTGGGGTCTTGTGCTCCAGGCTCCTTTCCTATTGCCCCAGTGAAACACAGGGGGCTTCTCTTAGGAGGTCGCTTCAACAATTACAGTTGCCTTCTCCATACTAGCCTGGATGTTCTTCCGCTAAACAAACTAGTCCATGACCTCCCGATTTAACTTCACCCAGGTACTCAGGACACAGGCAGACTGAAGCCCTGCTCTTGATCAAATTATCACACAAATGGCTCCTAGCCCAGTTCCTGACAGAATCTTTGTTCCCTTCTGAAACTTCTTGGATAGATTCTTCTCTCACAGAATCTCCTGTCACCCAGCCCAAGGAGTCTGAAGGATCAGGCATGAAAATGTTCAAGTTCCAATCCTGTGGCTTCAATTTTATACAGCTAGTCATTTGGGGAAGAGAATATGCTCACATAAATTCCATAAAAGATAATTCTGATATCTAAAGGAGCATGAAGAATTTAGACTGCAGGTGATTATAATTGGCAAACTAAGATAATCTACAAAAAGTTTCTTTTCCTACCTCCAAGTCCATGATTCTAAGAACATTACTTATACGTTTGTAAACGTAAGTACTCTGAATTCACACATGGGAGCCTAATGTTAAATATCCATATTGTCCAAAAGTTCTTTCCAAAGTCTCCAAAGACTGTTATCATTGGGTTTATTTTATTTGAGGTGGCTGTGTCTCTTTTCTCCTTCAACACTACCAATGTAGCTTCCCTACAAATCAAGGTACTTAAAGAAAAGGAGTGATGTGTCTCAGTGCAAGTGTGCCTGTGGAACAACACAGAACAGGCGGCCTGCAGCAGGATTCTTAATGAAGTTCCAGCTTGAATATGGGTGTCATCACTAAAGAGGAAGAGGATCATTCCAGACCATCAGCCTTATGTGACTTCATGTTTTTCCAAATTGTTCTGAGAACATCACCTGCTGTAACTAGCAGACTTTTAATACTGAAGAAAAGCATTAGGGAAAGAGAATGTGGAAAATCACAGAAGCCACCTTAGAAAATTTAGAAACAGACATAATTCAGAGGACAGAGTCAACAGGCTCCTCACCCTCTATGCAATGAGCATTCTCTCTTCATTATTTCCCATGGCCTGAACCTCCCGCTTGCATCAAGAACCTCCTGACCTTTGAACTCCACCAGTAGGTAGGGAGTACCTCTTATATGAAAAACCTGGGTACTTAGTTTTCCAACATCGCTTCCAGTGAGATATGAACACATGGTCTTCCATCCATTGTTATCATAAGAAGTGTGCTCTAGGATTTTTCAGCGGCAATCATGGCAGGGTAGGGCAGTTGGGTTTGGGGGAAGGGAAATAATATTTGGTGCTTACACTGGGGCAGCAGTGGGTGTCTGTCTTGGGGATATTAGCTCTGTGACATGGTTTTGGGTGTTGTCTTCAGTGGATGAGGTACCAAGTTTGTCAGTCACCTTGACAATACCACTCAAGTCCACCAGTACCCCCACCATGCCCACTAAGTGATACACATGAATTCTGCCAATGCAGAAAAATGGGGCTTCAATAAAGAAGGAATAAACATTCAAATTTCTGTAGATAAACAAAACTAAGGTTTTTACTTGGAAGAAGAACTCGGGGAGATGGGACTTACTCATGGCATTTGGTAGTAAATCAATTAAATTGTCCATGATGTCCAGATAGACTGAACTTCTGGTCTGGACTAAGAGAGTGGTCTATAATTCTAGGAGCTAAATAAACTTGGTATCTATGAATAAGGGTCTGACTGGGCAATGATTCAAGGTTCTCCATCTAATCACGGCAATGAATCAATCTTTAAACCAGAGCATCCAAAATAAAAGTGCCTTTGAGGGGAGACCTTGCAAGACCATCAGTAAAATAGATGATCTTGTCCCACACAGGCCTGCAGCTATGTGTCAGGAAGACATACTATAGTGTGAAGGTCCCCAACCCTGTGGATATCAGACACAGGCTCATTTAGGTCCTGGAAACAGGATATCATGGGGTCTATTAAGTAGTAGAGACTTATGAAGAGACAGATAGGGGATACATGTTCAATGTGGCCTCAAGACTTTCCTGCATTTTCTCAAATTCCAATAGGTAAAAAGAAGATATATTCAACACTGTCAGAATCTATTCCTTGAACCCATAGTGCTGAACTGTTGGATTAGAAGTCAGAGGCAAGCAGTATTTCAGGAGAATTCACAGATGCAATGTTACCACATGTGAGGTAGAAGGTAAGTCTCTCACTGACTTTTGGTGAATGGTCTGTTTGAAGTAAAAGACAATGCTGGACAGGAGTGTGATATGACATGCCCTAGTTAGGGCTTCTATTGCTGTGAAGAGACATCATGACCACAGCAACTCTTATAAAGGAAAAACATTTAATTGGGGTGGTTCACATTTTCAGAAGTTTAGTACATTATCATCATGGTGCAACATGGTAGCATGTAGACAGACATGGTGCTGGAAAAGTAGCCCAATGCCTACATATTGATTTGTAGGTAACAGGAAGTAGTCTGAGACACTGGGCAGTAATCTGAGCATAAATGAGACCTCAAAGCCCGCCTCCAAGAAGACCACATCCACTCCAGCAAGAAGTGTCACTCCTCATAGTGCCTCTCCCATTTCTTTCAACTACCACACCCAAAGAGTGTCTTCCCAAATATAGTCTCTGCACTCAAGAAAATCACCAGAGATACAACCATAGGAAACAGACTCCCTTCACCAAAAGACCAGAATCCCAAGCCCAGTTTTTCTTCATATGTCCCAAATTACTGTGTGTCCTCGACTCTGTTTCATGTCAGATGAGTCCTTTATCTATGCAGAGGATGAAATTTTCCTTTCACTCCTGCAAGAAGGCAGACCTATGCAAGGACAGGAAGGGTTTTGTAAATGTGGGTGCCTACCAGCTTCTACAGTTACTGGGATATAACTACAAGGTCCGGTATGAGTTTGGAGACAGAAAGGTAAGATACAGTACTATGTCCTACCTACTTTTGCTTCTTCATGGTCCTTCACTTACTGTGGGGTGACCAAGTAGAGAATTCAGTGCTGGCTGAGGGCATCATTTCTAATGGTGAAAATACTACAGGACTGCTGCATACCAATAAGGGAGAGGGAAATGCAAGACAAACAGGGTTCCTGAGCAATCACCCAGAATTACAGGCCCATGGATAAAGCAGTGGGACTAGAGCCTTAGATGGGTTCCACAGCCTGGACTCAGCCTTGCAGTGCACACATTGAGGCTATATTTGGAGCCCTTTAGCCACACAGGGTGGGGAAAGGCTCAGGCAGCCTTCATTTGGAGCTTGGAGATCTTATTCTATTTAGGCTCCCTGTGTTTCTCTGGCTCCCTAAAACAGGTATTACTGTTCTATTTCTACCTTCAGGATTTCCGTGTTCCATTATTGCCCATGTTTGAATGCTCCAACTGCTGAGGGCTTCATTCTGCTACCATACCTTGACCTTCCCTTATGTCCAGCAAAGACATCAGTATCCACCACACAGGCTTCTGGATCCCTCACTTAAAGAATGCTGTCCTCTACAGCACCTGGTGATTGACAGTGAATCTTATCCATCATGGCCCGGAAATGCCTCCTCAGCATGATTTCTGAATGCACGTGGTCAAGAGTCAGGCTGTGTTTCCTTTAACCTCCTCAGAAAGGGACCTCAAATTTGGGATTGAACAGTGTGCTGTTTTGCAGAGATCACAAGAAGTGGGTCAGACCCCACTCTCTGCACTGGTTTCAGGTACTTGTAGAACTTAGACAATCCACTTTAGTTTATAGGGTTAGACTACCATTCACCAAAAGAATTTAATTTCTAAATAGAAATAAAAGTACAAACAGTTGTTGATATTATGGGAAATTACAAATGAAAGCTCACCAATTTCACGGTTTGGGAAATTAAAGGCTAGGAAAACAGTGGCAGGTCCGAAATTAGAGACAGGCATAGACAAAGGCAAGGAGAGACAAACATAGAGAGATGCAGGGATAGATATGGACATAGAGAGACAGAGACATGGAGTCAGAAACAAGAAAAACAGAGTGAGAAATGAAGAGAGCAAAAATGATAAAAGAATGAGAAAGAAGAAGATAGGAAAGGGAGATGGAAATGACAGACATGGATAGAGAGCTTCTAATGTGTAATCTGCTCACTGAGGGTGGAGCCCTGACCTACATCGAGAAACCTAGTGCTTTTCTGCTAAAATCAGCAACCTGAAGATGTCTAAGAATGCAGGGATGAAAGGAAATGAAAAATTTACCTCTAGGTCACTAGAGCTCATCTGGACATGAACTGAAACTGGAATAAGAATTTTGCAGAGTTTGAAAAGCCTCATGGATTTCACCCATGCACTCATAAGTGGAGCCCCTGTGGCTGGTGAGGAAACACTTCTTCAAATAATTCCCACATTTGTCTCATCTAATGACAAGGTCGGAAGTCACAGGTGCATAGTAATGTGAGCAATTCAATCAAGACCCAAACTTAACACATGCCAAAGCTTAGTCTGTTCCTTTCTACCAGGGTGTCTTAGTTCATGTTCTTTTGCTATGAAGAGATACCATGACCAGGGAAACCCTTACTAAAGAAAGTATTTAATTGCTTGCTTACAGTTTCAGAGGTTTGGTCCATTATCATCATAGAGGGAAGCATGGCAGCAAACATCATTCTGGAGAAATAGCCAAGAGTTCTACACCAGGATTTACAGGCAGTGGGAAGAGAGAAAGCCACTGGGCCTGGCTTGGACTTTGAAACCACAAAGCACACCCCCAATGACATACCTCTTCCAACAAGGCCACACCTACTCCCTCAAAGTCCACATCTCCTAATCCTTCTCAAGTAGTACCACTCCCTGATGACCAAGCATTCAAATATATGAACCTATGGTAGGGGCATTCAAATTTAAAACCACCACACAGGGTCATAATCCCCCCAGAACTGTGTGAGTTTAAGACAACACTTAAGTAGCTCGAGATGGATTGCCATGCCTTCTGGTTCTCTATTACATCTATGTAATTTCTTCAATATGTGGAAATCTTCAGTCTTAGAGAATAGAATTCTCAGAGCCAAAACCACTAAAAAAAAAAAATTAACCCTAGAAAATAAAGCAGTATGGTACATTTGCTAATTGCTTGCTGATATCAAAATCATCATCATCATCGGCTGGAGAGATTGCTCAGTGGTTAAAAACAGCATGTATTACTCTTGTATAGTTTTTGGTTTTCAGCACCCATATTAGGGGGCTCATAACCACTCATAACTTTAATCCAGAGGATTTGGCACTATCTCCTGGCCTCTTCAGGTACCTATGGTCACATGCCTTCCCCATGTACATATAATTAAAAAAACAAGTCTTTATAAAGGGGAAACTGAAATTTCCAATGTATGTCTAATAAACTTGTTTTTAAAAGATAAGTCTCAGAAGAAAAGTTATCTCATGCTGATTGAAACCACTCAAGTACACATATTCTATTAAATATTACGTTAAATCCTAGACCTCACAGAACCAACTCATGAGGATCTCTCTGGCATCCTTGGGTCCCTAGCATTCTGGAAGAGGTGAAAATTTAGGGATATTGAAGCAATGGGAAAAGCAGAAGTAGAGACTCCCCCTAAAGATAAGTGTAACGAGTGTATAGGCTCTACATGGATGTGGGATTGTATGTACCCCAGGAAGGCCATGGACCTAAGCAAGACCTGCTTATAGTTAGTAGAGGATGCTGAGTAGGTTCTCTGTTTGACATTCCTGCAAAGAATGCTGTAAGGGAGAAATCAGGAGGGCATTGAGGAGCCTGCAATCAGAAGTCTGCTCAGGAGGAAGCACACAGTGAGTGGGCACCCACAGCAGCCACTAGGGTGGCTAGTGAGGAGACTCAGTAGGTAAAAAGACACCTCTGCATTAAAGCTATGGTGCATCTAATTAAGGAATCTTAGATTTGATCTCTCTCTCTCTCTCTCTCTCTCTCTCTCTCTCTCTCTCTCTCTCTCTCTCTCGTGTGTGCGCGTGTGCTTGTGTATATGTGAAAACCAAAGGTCCTTGGTGTCCAGTGTCTTCCTGGATTGCTCTCAACTTTGTCTTTTGAAAGGTGGCCTGTCACTGAAGCCTGTGCTCACCAATTGGCTGGAGTGATAACCAGAAAGAGCTAGGCCTCTACTCATCTCTGGCCACACCCCATACCACAACCATGTTACATGTACTACAACACTTGGCTTTTTCACATGAGTGCCGAGGATCTGGATTCACGTTTGCATGCTTGCACAACAGGAATTATTCTCTTTTTAATAATCAAGTTTCTTGTTTATTGTCAACAACTAGGAAATGACAAATATGCATCATGAATTTAAAATCCTTCATTAACTTCTACAACCAACTTGGAAGCAGTTAGTATTATGTTGTTGCCTTCAAGCACTCTTACCCACTGCTCTGCATCAGCCACACTAGTCAGAAGACAATGATCCATTTGCCTGCCCTTACCTAGCATGGGATACATTTATCTTTACATTTAAAAGAAAATACTGTCTGCCTATAATACTTAGTACCAAGATACCAGAAATAATCAGAACTGAATTGTCAATTTTAATTGAAAGACGTAATTATAAAAAATAAAAAATAACAGAATCATGGATCCTTTAAAACTAAAATTCTGATTTATTAAGACATAAAAGCATACACACAAGCACTATGTAATGTTTCAACACATGTGTAGGGCATCTTAAAAAAAGATTTATTTGTGTGTATTTACATATGCATATGTGCATGTATTTATGTGTCTATGTGAGGGTATGCCATATATGTGTAGATACCTGTAGAGTCAGAAGCATCTGACCCCTAGAACTGGAGTTACAGTAGTTGTGAGCTATCTGATGGGTGCTGGGAACTGAACTTAGGTCCTCTGAAAGGGCAATAAATACCATTGGAGCCATCTTTCTGCTTCCATGTATAGAACTAAGAGAAGAACACTAATATTGCAGGCTCTTTAATCTTTGTATTTAATACAAAGAGGCCAGGAAAAAGCCATGCCATACCCCTGAACATGATTCAGTAACTGACTTCAGCCAAGGGGTTGGAGGATTTAATTATTTTCATAACAGTTCCAATTCACAAGGGAAGTAAGGCACTCTAAGCACTGTGTCCCGCTGGGCCCAGGATTTACATTAAAATTTATTCTAACTAGTAATTTTTTTTCAATGCAGACCATATAGCCAGGTGCTATGATTTGAATACGGAATGCTTCTGGCAGGCTCATGTGCTGAGATACTTGGTGCTCAGATGGTGGTGCTATTTGGGAGGGTGGTGAGATGTGTAGGAGATAGAGCCACACTGGAGGAAGTGGGTTACTGGGACAGGACTTGATGTTTGATAGCCTGACCTGAATGCATGTGCTCATTCTCCCTCTGCTTCCTGCCTGGTGATTCAATGTGACCATTGCCTCACATTCCTGCCACCAGGCCTCCCACACCTTAAACTGTGAGGCAAAATAAAACCTTCCTTCCTGAAGTTGCTTCTTATCAGGTATTCGGTCACTGCAGTGAAGAAAGTCACTGATGTGTAGGTATAGAGAATCCAACACAGTCTGTAACTCCTAGAGATGTGAGAAAGAAAGGAAAGCCACATTTTGAATGGGTGGTATTTTCCCCTTTGTACTCTGCTGGGTCACCCTGTCATCCACTCAGTTATGAGACCACAGGAAAGCTTTTCAGCTGCTCTGTGTCTCTCTCTTTGACTCAGCAAGGCAATGGGACAAGAGTATCTGCTTTTGTGGGACTGCTTTGAGGGATGGGGCAGACTTGACACACAGAAAGGCTGAAGGGTGCTGCTGATGTTATGGCTATAAGCAACGATAGTGATTTCCTCTTTGGAGGAATAATGTAAAGAAGGAGAATGAAAATATGTGGGAAATCTAGTTCTAGTGTGGTTTCTGTTGCTGGGACCAAACACTGACCAGAAACAACATGGGAAAGAAAGGGTAACAGTCCATCACTGAGGGAGATCAGGGCAGGAAGCTGAAGGCAAGAGTTGAAGCAGACCATGGAGGGGGGCTGCTTACTGGTTTGTTTCCCATGGCTTGCTCAGCTTGCTTTCTTGTAACCCAGGACCACCTGTCCATGGATGACACCACCCACAATGAGCTGTGCCCTCTCAAACTAATCAAGAATTAAGAATATGCCCCACAGACACACTCACAAGTCAATCTGATGGAGGCAATTCCTCAGTTAAGTTTCTCTCTTCCCATATGTCAAGTTGACAAAACTTAACAGCATATCAAGAGAAAGACTTATATTCAATACTAAATTTGTTTGAGAAAATTGAAACAAGGAAAATAACATGTTAACAGCAGGTATTTCTGCTGTAGTATACTTAGGGTGATCTATCTTTCCTTGTTTATCTATGTAAGTAAATGTGCCCATAGTTTAGAACACACACAACTCATGCCAGCATGAGCTAATGCCATTTTATTTCAATCTTAATCTCTTTGAAATGTCAAAATATAAATATGTAAGCCTTTTCTGGTTTTGTCTTTTGAGCTTATTAAAGTTATAAAATAAAACACAGACATGGATAATAAAGCACAGAGGCAGGAAATAACATGGAATAAGGGCAGATGTCAATGAGTCACCACAAGCAGACCACCAGTCACCTCTGATCAGAACAGAAGGTCCGCTAGCACGCTTCCAGACCCTTCTGTGGCCACTTCACGATCCCCAGATTAACTGTCTCGCTGTGCCACACCCTAACCTCACGCACTTGGTGTTGTTCAGTGTGCTCCTGCTGTTTGTTACCACTAGCAAGGGCACACATCGGTGATGCCTTGGGTCTTGGTACTCAGAAATGAGACGTATGTATTCAGTGGAGGCTGCAAAAGGCCAACAGTCTAGATTTTCTACTCTTTTCTCCTGTCTGAGAGGGAATGTATCTAGAAGGAAAAATGCTCTCTATACTTACTTCCTGGCAGGAAAAGTTTGTAAGCTTTTCAGTTTTCCCTTTTACTTGCTGTTGTGAAGGTTATTAACTTGAAGAGCAACTGACTGGACTTTTGAATTTATCTTAATAAGTGGGTTTGGATAGAATTAGTAAGTCCCAGTTGCTAATGTCAGAATGGAAGTTCAAGCTGTTTCACCCATGGTCAGTAGGGGCCTCAACAGACTGTTCTAAACCCATGTTGTGAGTTTTGTCATCTTAGTGGCCTCCTATTTTCTTCCAGGGGTTTCAGATCCCCCTGTCCGCTCTCTGCTCTGCCTTCTGGGGAGGCTCCACTCCTCTTCCTGCTGGGAAGAGCCTGTCTAGAGGGCTGTCTGGGTGACTCACTCTTTGCTGCTGGGATACTTTAATCATCCATCCAACTACTCCAAGCAGCACAGCTAAAGCATAGAACATCTTCCAAGCTTATACTGACATTTCCAACTCAGATTCATGATGGCAGGCTGGGTGTTTCGTCTCATATAACACCTCTTTCTTCTTTTTCTCTACATCAAATACCCATACTGGATGGAACAAATGAGTGAACTGACATTTTTCATCAGCACTTTTTTTTTGTAATGCTTCTTAATCTCCACGATATCAAATACTCTAGTGTCTGATGTGATTATGAAAAGTTTAGTTTTTTCTTTACAATTACTTGTCTCACTTATTTCCATTTTTTCCCTAGCTGGACTATAGCACAATTATCAGAGGAGATGGCAACTAAGCATTATTCTCCCCTTCCCTTTACTCTTCGGTTGTGTCCTGTCAACACAGTGGTCTGCACATCCAGCAGGTGTTCTTACCTTTGTTGCCATCTGTCTCATTCACTGTCTAGACACACTCTCTGCCCTCACTACCACTTGAGCTCTGTAGGGTCTTTGGTGCTGGATGTAAAAATATCTGCTCCAGATGTCTTAGATAATTCCATAAACATTCCCCAATTTTCATGTGTAAATACACCAAGGGGTCCATCACCATCACTTCTGCACCCCCACACCTGGATGGACACACATACACTCACTCTCTTCCAGACCCATGGGACCACCTACGCCTACATTCCTTGGGTCTTCTTTGAATTTCCCATAGTACTTTTCTCATACTAAACAGAGAGGATGCACTGTAATTGTCTACCCATCAGTGTATAGAACCTGTCATGAGATGGTGAGGAGACTACTCAGTGTGTTGACTAACTGAGTAAATGAGTACTTTTGGTAAGAAAAAGAAAGGAAAGAAAAATGACACTCTAACTAAGGCATTTCCAAAAAGGCAGAGAAAAATTTTCAGCGTAACAAAGTCCTTGGCATTGATAACTAGGGTTCATTTTGTAAGTGGCCAATCCATACTGAACCATACTCTGATGGAATATTAAACTCAGGAAAGGAACCCAAAGAAATACTGAAAAACACCAGATTTTATACACAACTTCAATTAATCATAATTTACCTTGTTATGCTTAGACTGTGTCTCC